CTCCATATTCTCCTCAGGCAGCCCGCTATGTTCTTAGACCATCTGAGCCAGAATATACCACGAGGATCTCTGTTCATTGTTGACAGTTAAAATTCAACACTAAGACATTTATTTTCTTAAAGAATGATAATAAGGATTACTGGGTTAACATAATTCTAGCTACCTTTTTGATAGTGGAGCACTCAGTGAATTTGATCAGCCTCAGTCCCAAGCTATACTATTAGGCAGATATAATTATTCTTAGTTTAGCATTGGCATCAGACAATCACAAAGACTTTGTAGAGTATCCATTTCCACAGATTGTCCGATTATATCCCTACAAAAAAGTTGCAGTTCTAATAACAGAAGCAAGTAAAGGATTTGTAATGAATGTACTGCCAACAGCATTGTAGAAAAGGATTATTAGGGAATGGCTGTAGGACTGACTTGTTCTTGATAAATCAAGATTTTTTGCCCATGTTCAGCGATAACTTTCCTGTTTCACCATATGTACCCTTCTTTCACTAGATAAAATGATGTTAATATTTAATTTGCTTTTTGTTTGCTATATCTTCCATATCTTTCCTGAATACTGAAGTGAAAATAGAAAAGTTTTGAGGGTGAGTCTCCTCATCCTTATTGGAATGTCAGCACTTTGGCCGCTTAAACAAAGTCCATTTGTGAATTATAAAAGTAGCTCATCAAATAAAATATAAATGTCTTCTCTTAGCTAAAATTGAATGCACTGCCTATATATATCTCTTCTGGCCATTAATTTATATTAAGCTTCCTGCAATCATATAAGGTCAGCAAGTGATATAAAAGAGCCAAGTGATAAGCTTTTATTTCTTGTCCACTTAAATCAAATGTAAAACGGTCGCTGGGGTACAAAGCAAATCCACAATGATGTGTATCCTTTTCAAAATTGGCATCATTCTTCCTTACAGTGTGGTAATACTTTTTTCAACAAACAGTGGCAAATACGTTTACAGATGTGATAGAACCTAGTCACAAGTCCAGAATTAACAGATTGTAATAGGGAGGATACCTAAGTGATTTCTTTTATTCTGAGAATATCTTAAAAGCTCTTTTAAGGTGGCCATAACTCCAAGGCCACTTAAGATGTGCATCACAGTTTATTCCTGTGTTATTGAAACAGCTGCTTCTAGTGAAACCTTGGGAAAAATACGCTAACGGTAAGAACAGTTTAACAAGGGTAACAGCTACAGGGGTGACTGCCTTGCTTTTCATCAGATATGTTCAAGCAAAGCCTTCAGTTGGGATATTTAATATGGATTCCAGCAGTAAGCAGAGGGATGAACGCAGTGGCCTAATTCTATGAAATCCCATCTGGTTAGGATGATAGGAGTTGTTCAATTCATGTGGAAGGCACCAAGTTGGGGAAGGCTGTACTAGAACATGAAATGATAGGACTAATAAAAAGAACAGCCAAAGCACAAATGTATCAAAAGCCACTTTAACTAATAATGTCCGATTCAAATTCCTTGCACAAACACAGCAGGGTGAACTACAGGCACTGTTTAGTTAAGGAGAGGTCAGCATCCTCCCTCACCCTTTGTTTGAAAGCATCCAGCAGGAGGAGGAGGAGGAGGAGGAGGAGGAGGAGGAGTGGTGGTGGTGGTGGTGGTGGTGGTGTTTGGCACTGCTATCTAACAGGCCATCCAGCTGTGGTGTCCCACAAGGTTCCATCTTGTCCTTCCATATGTTCAACATTACATGAAATCGCTGGGGAAGGTCATTCAGAATTTTGGATCAGTAGTTGATGATATTGCTGTTTACAAACCAACTTCAAAGAAACAATTTGTACCTGAAAACACTGCTTTAATTAAATAATGGTCTGGATGAGAAAGAACAGGAAGAGTTACCGATACAGGAAACTGGACTCAGGGATTGAGATGCAACCTATTTTGGAATAGGCTGCACTCCTCCTAAAAGAGCAGGTTCACAGTAGTGCCTTTGCACAATTACACTTAAAACACCAGCTATAACCCTTTCTGAAGGGAGTTAAGGGCTAAAGCTGTAAGGCTGGAACCAGCAGTGTACAGGCCAGATTGTAGAAACATTGAGTAAATGTTTTCAACTTTCCAAATGGGGAGTAAAACGGCCCAAATTCTACTGACTTGAAAAAGTAGGAGAAAAAATTGTAGAAGTTAAACCTTGGAATGAATGAATGAATGAATGAATGGGCAGAGATACACACACACACACACACACACTTATTATCAGCCAGAATCAACCCACTGAAAGAAGGTTCACTGAAGGTTATGGATCACAATCTACCACACTAATCCACAGCAAGTTGGTAGATAGATTTTTTTTTTTCTTACTTCCCAGTCTAGGGCTAAGAGAGAGCCCAAAGTCAGCCAGCCAGCTTACATGCCTAAGGAAGGGCAAGAAGGTGCTTCTAGTCCAGCACCTTAGCCACTACACCACACTGGCTCACATACATGTATATGACATGGCAGGTTTGATTTCTATGTTCTGCAGAAAACAAATCTTCTGCATAAATGTGACTTTTGTGTTTAATAAAACAGCTTATCTAACCATATTATGTCTATGAAGCTTCCACGTAAGCAAGAACAAGATGCCTGACAACAATGAACAATGTGGTTAACACCTCAAGAATAAATTACTGCAATGCAATGGAAAATTACTACATGGAAAATGCAATGGCCTGCCTGCTAGTGGGTTAGACCCATTACAATCATATAATAGTTGTTTAGGGGTGCTGCATGGCTCCCAATCTGTTTCTGAGTAAAGTTCAAAGTGCTCTTTTTATTGTATAAACCCCTTCATGGCTTGGTTCCCAGGTCCTTCAAGTCTGCCTTGTTCAAGTAGAAGTAGGCCATTATTGAGCGTGATTTGTAAGGGTTGTCATCTTGGCCACAGATGCCAATTTTGGTTAACAACTTTATTTTTATGTATTTATTGTTGGATTAGTAAGCCACCAGGAGTCCCTTTGTAATGCAGCGACATATAAAAGGTATAAATAAATATGCGGTTGAATGTCTGAAGAGTGAAGCTTTATTAACATCAGGTTGGATTTTCGTTACAATTTTCCATCCCTTGTTTATATCCTTTCTTGACAACTGCAATGCACTCTATGTGCAATTATCTTTGAAAAGTATCCAGGAGCTACTATTGGCGCAAAATGTGGTACCAGGTGCTACCTGGTACAAGGTACAGGTAGTAGCATCCACAGCAACCTGTGATGACTTCAGAGTGATGGGTGTGAGCTGATACCATCTCATAAATGCCATTACAAACTTGCATCCCAAGTCCTGCTTGAAAGTCATGGCATGGCATACTGTGTCATGAAGCGGCCACACATTTGTCTCCTCTGAAGCCCCTGCAGACATTGATAGATCCAGGAATCATGTGATCCCTGTACTGAAAGGCCTTTACTGTTTGCCAGGTGCTTACCAGAGGCAACTTAAAGGGCTGGTATTAACCTTTAAAACTCAAAGCAGTTTAAGGCTTGGCTATTGCTTGTTACAAAGTTGTCCATTAGTCAAAATTTTTTGAAGATGTTCCTGCTGCCAGAGAAGGAAGAGGCCCTTCTGTATTGCTCACACAGCAGCAACTGCCAAGGGGGGTGGGGGGTGTCAAAAAAGTCAAAGCTTTGCCCCTTTGTATATGTAAGCAATGTCAATGCAGATTCAAGGGGCCAGGGCTTCAACTGCATGGTTGTGACACCCAGGTGGTCACACATTATAGAACGCATCCTCTTGAGTGTCATGCTTGATCCCCAAGTCTCTCCACATTGGTAGGCTTGCATTAGACTTTTAATGAATACATTGTTTTAGTAAGGTGTGTGTGTGTGTGAGTGTGTGTTCATTTTAATCTTTTAAAACAATGTGTATTATTTATCATTCTGTTATTTATATTTTTTACATTTTCTTAACTGCCTTGACTACTTGGCAGAGTACAAAGTTAGGTCGTATATCAAATAAATATAAAAAGCGTGCTGTTACGCCAAAAAAACAATGTAACAACCACCATGCATGCCCAACACTGCTTGCACTGTTTATTTATTATTTAAATAATCAAGGAAATTTTAGTAAAAGTGACCTACATTTAAATACTTTGGTCCCTTGAAGGAAGAGGACTTTGATAGCAGCAAAAGAAAACTTATTTTTTTGCGCCAGTGGGCAAGTTGTGACAGTCACTTCCTGCAATGCTAAATGACAGGAGGGAAGCCATACCATACCAAGCCATAAATATGGATGACAGGTCTCCAGGACTTTTAGTAACAGACGTTTGGCAAGATTCAGTGGAAGGGGTAGGGCAGCTACATTCCTGAACCGCAATTTCAGGAGAAGCTGAAATGGTTGAACCCTGGAAAATGCCTCATGATCAGCAGTTAGAGGTACTTATCTTGATCCAGCAGCAGCAGACTAAAATAGGTGGGATCAATATTGCCTCTTATTGTAGTTACCCTATCATACTCACTATTTTGAATAAAATGTATGCCTTCATTTCAGCTCTGTTGGTAAATAGCTTCTGATGTACTGTATTTGACTTTGTGTGCAAGACAGACAGGTTGGATATCTGTCCATGAAACATGCCATGTGTAATTATAGTACTGTTCCTCAGAAATATCTCAGCAATGCTGTTTCCAAAGATATGGTTTTTGAATATACACACAAAGTGGTTAGTTTATTTCAGTGTTGGTCAAACTTGGCAACTTTAAGATGTGTGGACTTCAGTTCCCAGAATTCCCCAGCCAGCAGGGAATCTTCAATTCTGGGAGTTGAAGTCCACACATCTTAAAGTTGCCAAGTTCGACAACACTGGTTTATTTACTTTAGAGAACATCCCCAAATTGGTGGGGTCATTACCATCGGAAAGGAATTTAATTATAAACTATGATGCAGTTTCAGAAATTGTTTGAACTGCTATCAGGTAGACCAGTGTAACAAATAGAATCTTCAGACATTTTAGTTTCCAAAGTATTATTCTCAACAGTTCTTGAAAATAAAAATAGTCAGCTTTTTCAGTTGCATCCACTGGAATAAAGGAAGTGTGTTTTATTTTGGTTTGTACACATATTCAATGTTTCTTAAAAACTCCATTTCAGTTCAGTTAGGTCCAGTTTTACGGACGAGTAAAACTGCCTTCACTATTGTAAGATGTACGTAAAATCCAGTTAATAAATGTTTCACTGAGTTATTCATTTATGAATAACAGGATTTCTTTCTAAGTATTATTTTACTTGTGTGTCTTAAAATGTACACATACTGTTTTGCTGATAAGATATATCATTACATTGGCATACCAGGGATCCAAAAATCTGAAGTAAGTGTAATCTCATACATAGCTCAAACTTCAAAAGAAAAGAGGAAATTGAAGAGAAAGTGATATACCCATTTAGAAACTTTTGATACAACAAAAGATAAAGTTCATTAGAGTGGCTTACATTAGATCAAAACTAATATACAGAAAATACTATAGATTCTCAGCTGTACTAGTGGTCTTCTGTTCCACTAATATTACATGGGAATGCAAGCATGGACAACATACAGTACTTGACTGTTTCATACATAAGAGTTTCTTTGACAAATCTGGGGGGAAAAAGTTCCAGTTTTGAACATCTGACAAAAATGTACATTAAAATTCTGCCAAAAAAAAAATAAAATTCTTTAGTACGTTAGTTAAAAAAAGACAGCATTATAGGTCATTTAATAAGATTTAAAACATGATTGGGCACTCTTGGACTCTCCAGATTTTGCTGAAGTACAGCTCCCAGGATCGCTGACCAGTTGGCCATAAAGGTTGGAGCTATGCGGGGATACAGTCACCCATATCTGGTAAGACACATATTCTCCTGAATTAAAAGATCAAATGGTTTTGCATCCATTGTTATAAACACAGGACACTGCCATTTTAAGCCTCTGAGAACTTCAGGGGCAGAATATTCATTTGAGGACCTTGCCCCACTTTTCTTCTGACAGCATACTATGACATTGAAGTTTTTCCCATTTGTCCCATCCAATCATTTTAGCAAAGATTGATTAGAATCATCTCTCTGGTGGGACCAAGGGAACTGCCTCCCTTCAAAGGCTATGACCCAGAAAGTGACCTCAGCTGATGACCATTATCTATTTTCTTGGGGTTTGGGGGGTATGTGTGTGTGACATGTACATTCTAATTTCTATCATTCCTGTAAGGAACACAAGGTACTTGAAAGTTAAGATGATTCTGATGTATCTTCTCCTGTTTTCCCATGTTCTATTTTCCTGGATCAACTCCAAGGCTCTTCCCTTTGCTCCTTCCTGTTGCCGCACCCAATCTATTCTTTTTGGAATGTCAACTCTACTTTGGAAGAAATGACACATAACAGAAGAGTTTTGCTCTTCCACTTTTCTGTGTGTTTCAAAAGTTGGTTCAGTTCCTCCTGCATAATTAATATTTTATCATACTTCAACACCTTGGGTAATAAAGTAGTAATGAGGCCATCTTTGCAGTCCAATATGTTGTTTCCAGTCAGATGTTTTATCTTCCATTTGGACCTGTATACCTGCAAGAAATATGTTGTCTTTAATGAAACAATGTATAACTATAATATGCTGGTAAGAAATTATTTTTTGGACAGGGCAGGATGATTTCTAATGTTTTTCAGAGCTACGTTAGCTTTCTGCTCTGACCTTTTGTAGCAGGAAAGCTTGCTGCAATGCCAGTGTCTTGAGAAAGGACCCCTTCTCACTAACCACAGTATGGTACAAATGCTGTTGTGTCTTATCACAAAACTATCTTGCTGTTTTCACATAAGGGAGTTCAAGTTATTACAAAATCTGCAGGGCTGTTCCCTCGCCCCACTGGTTGATGTAATTGATACATTAATTTTCAGCAAGGTACTTCTTGTACTTCACTTTAATCATATCCTCCCGATGAATAGTGATGCACAGTCTTATGTAAGTGACTAAATCTGGATCTTTCTACTTAAGCACTATAAAGAACAGCAAAATGATGGATACTCAGAAGCTGACCTTGGAGTGGACAGTGCTTGCAGCTGAAAAACAGAACAGCATTATATATCCTTCCCAGAAGCCCTCTGATCTTATACAATACTTTCCTATATTCGGAATATAGATAATACATTTAACCTAAAGTGGGACATTGTGCAGAATTCTTAGGATAGTCATCTATCATTCTTCAGCAAGACCTAAAACATCTCTTTAGTAATGATAAGGCTTGATCCTTTAGTTCAAAGTCTTCTGAACCCTTCTGATATCCAGCTTGCATGTTTTTCCTATCGTTTCTCTTGCCACTGACCCAAATACCGGTGCCTGTAAAATAAGCAGTTTAGTATTTTCAGTCTTACTTGGATAACATTCATGAGACAAGATTGTCTGGTCCATCAAGTTAACTTTGTACTGCTTACGCAAGGGCAAATGCCATAAAGTTGGTATGCATTTCCTAAAGGCACTCACTGGTTTGCCAACAGCTTCTTTTTTCAATTCTCTAATCTCTGTATTAGAAATACAAATACGTTATCAGCAAATTGTTTCTGCTGAACTCACTTTTGTACCCAGTATAAAAAAATTCATTTGGTGTCTAGGGTATTATAATGATACCTAGAACAACTGGGTTAATAATCTGCTGAGCAACTTATCTAAGGTACAACACACCAAACATGAATGCTATGCAGCTTTATTTGTATCAATGGATCTCACTCAGTTCCTCTCAACAAATTCCACTGAAAAGGAGAATATTGTGCAGGGCTACCATCAGCTTAAAAAAGTTTAGTCAACTAATCATTTGCAGTTTAATTTACAACTCAAATATATCTATGAGAGTTTCCTCGGAAGAAATATTTTCAAAGGAAAAGCATTATTTATTTGATATCTGACTGCATTATAGATCATATCAGGGAACTGCATTTTAGAAAAGAGTTAATAAATACAACAGCTAAATAAATATATTTGAGAGTCATTTACCTCCTATGAGAAAGAAGGATGAATAGTACTTCTAAATTTTGGCATACATATTTGTAAGAATATTTATTAAAAATATTTATACTTTTTTAATCACTCTTTTAGCTGATAAATAGTCCCTAAACAGCTTCCTGATCTGAAAAGGTATTCCTGTCTATCAACAAGAAATAATATTAATTTTAACTGTAAACAATAATAAAATAAAATCTGCCTATCCAGTGTTTCTGCAGTGAACTTTGTTCTCCTTAAACTATGAGGAAATCCTCAAGTCAAAATTATAAACAGTATTATGGATCAAGTCTTTTAATCAACTCATCTGATTAAACAGTTAAACACTGCAGCCTTAATATCAGCAACAAAGCCCTGATAGCTTACCCAGTATATACTTGTCAGTTAGTCCATGAAAGACTTTTGATAAACATGCATTAGGCTTGAGCTGTTAGGGCCAAACTACATGTTACACTAAACATGTAACTGGCCTCGCCCCACCCTTTTTTTTTTTTTTTTTTACAGAGTCTACAATGAAATGTTTTATTTTTTAAAAAACATTTTATTTCCATAACTGCCATGGCAGCTTTCTTTCAGCACAAAAACAGATTCAAGGCAATTTTCATTGGACTTACAATTCAATGCAATTATTAATTTATTCATATTCGTTAAATGTATATCCTGCCTTTCCTGCAGGAGCTCAGCATGGTATACACAGCACTCCTGCCTCCAATTTTTTCTTAAAACAATCCTTTAAGTTAGGTTTGGTGGAGAGAGTACCTAGCCCAGTGTTAGCCAGGAAGTTTCCATAGCTAAGGTGAATCTGAACACCTTAACCTCCATGTCACACTAGCTGTTTTTCATTGTTCTAAAATTCAAAATTCAAATTGTCACATGACAGTGGGAGTCACATTTGTAAGCAGATGTCTTTTCCATTCATATATAAAACATGTGAGTGAAATTTAACAGGGCCATCTTTCAAAAAATATTTCTCCCATCCAAGATCATTTTACATAATTTGACTGGCCTTGACAAGCTCCAGAAATGACATGAACCTGGTTACAAGAATGTACATGTTGCTGCATGAAAAGATTTCAGCTGTTAATGGACAGGGGAAGCATTCAGTCTATATACAGTGCCATGTCACATCTTTTTTCACCATGTTTAATATCTTTTAAAAATTCTTCAACTCTTCCTCTTTTCATTACCTTTTTTTAGGATAGCTGGCTTTATTGTTCTTTTTCATTATTTTATTTTCTCCCCCCCCCCCCCCATTTTACACCACTTTGATTCCCTTTGGGAAGAAGACCAATATAGAAATAAAATAATGATAATAATTTAAATCACATCATGGTTTACACATTGAAAGGGGAAATTAGAAATATGTAGAATGAAATATAATCCTTATTATGGTCACCAACCAGGATTCTACCAATAATAACAAATTCTAATCCTAACCCTAATAATAATAATAGAAGGATTCGATAGGTGGATAAAAGTCCCATATCCAGTCTAAACATCTGGCTGACTGTGTGACCAACAACAATAACAATAAAATAGTTTCTATTTCAAATAAAATAAGACAACATAAAATTGTAGTTAGGTCATTGAGCCGATCAGAGCATGTCTATTTTACAGAGTATAACAAAATTTAGCCATATTCAAGGAGACAAAATTGTACATCTGAAAAATAAAAAAAATACATACATAATACATAAAACATAAAACATACAATAAAATCATAATATAGTAAATGAAATCTGTACATAAAATAAATCAGAATAGTTTAGTACTTTGCCAGAAAGGGAATTACACAGCAGGCTTTTGCCTCTTTGTAGAAGATGTAGTATAACAGGACATGAGCTATGGATTCAATAGATCCTTCTCCAGAAAGGCACAATTTTTAGTTCATAAGGGATTTTTTTGTATTTGCCCTTAAGAACAGTTGTAGTGAAACACACTAACATTAATGTTCTTTGGCGTTTAGGGACATTATTTGATATAAATATCTTGGTAGGCTAAAAATAGAGGCATGACTAGCCAGGAACACATTCCTGGGCAGGGCAGATGGATCCAGTTGGGTTTCCATATCTCTAGCATGTTGCTTAAGTCCACTAAGGGCTTTATCATCAGAGTGGCTTCTCTTAAAAACCAATAGTTGCAATTTTTGTAGGGTGTCCTTTTCCATGTTGGAAAATTTATAATTGTTGGTCATGAACCAAGAGCTCAGACCTTCAGGAACAAACAATACTTTTAATCAGTGGGCAATAATACAAGAACATTTCTACTTCAGTCAAGCCTGCCTCCCTCCTTAGTACTCATTTAGCACCAGACGTATGCGTGTTATATGCTGTTTAAGTGTTATTTCCTATCAGGAGTGACCAAAGGGATCGGGTCACATCATGGTGCAGAGTACCCAAACTAGCCAAATTATTTTGGCACCAGAGACAGAAAATCCACAAGGACCTCTTTTCTTTCCCACTGTAAAAAATAATAAAAATAAAAATAACATAAACTGCTCTCTCCTTACAATCAAAGTGGGCTACTTGTTTGGCTCTGCATCAGACACAGGCTGTTAAAATTCCACTAAGGGCCTCCTCCAGATGGCTGCATCGAAAGTACTATCCCACAGTCCTTGAGACAGCAGGAAAAGTAAGCTGCCAGCAGAAATTGTGCTGCCACATTGCCAATCCCTATTATGCAACAGTAATGAGGCTGAAGAGTGCTGTCCTTATGCAGCTATTGAGGGACAAGTTAAGGCACTGCCGGATTCCCCTGACTTTTCCACCCCTCTCCCATCTGCCAGCAGGGAAACAGCTACCGTTCTCCTTAATGTGAAGCAGGACAATATTGCAATTAAGCTACATTCAAGGAGATGGCTGTTCTAAATGGCAGCTTTAGTTACCTCTCAAGTTGTCCAACTAACAGGTCACAGACATGTAGAGGCACCTTAGATGAAGTGGGAGGAGGCTCCTTCCAATGGTCCTGCTCAGCGCAACCTTGTGACCTGTCTGTTGTGTCACTTCTGAACACAGGTCTAAAGCTCTTTGGAAAGACCCGTAAACCCATGTCTCAAAATAGTTCAGCTGACAGATTTCAGGCAAGGAGGAGGAAAGAAGGGTTGAAGGGAGGGAGCTGATGTTCCTGCTTGACATAATCTCTTCTGTGCCTGTGACCTGCCAATTGGGTCAGTTGTCAACACAGACCGAGCAGCACTAAACCCATGTTTCAAAATAGCCCAGCTGACAGGTAAATGAGAGCAGGACAAAGCAATGTATGTGTTTGTGCATGTGACAATATCAAGCTTTGTCTTTAAATAATACTGCAAGAGATGGGCTGTGCTGGCAGCAAGTGACCAAACAGTCCAGGTCTAATCTTGTGGCTCACACTTCCCAAGAGCAGTCATGAAAAACCTGCAGTTGTAATTGGCCAACACGTAATAACAACAGCCATCATCATGGCCCAAATGAAATATACAAAATGATGCTGCCCTTTCCCCCATCAGAGTATTAAAAACAGTAAAAAGCATGCCCATGTGAACCCTTGTCAGCAGAATCGGTGGGAAACCAGTAACGCAGCAAGTAGTGACAATGCT